ACTTATTTTGGAATGGGGTAGTATTAGATTATATTAGATAGATCGCTGGTATATATACAATATCATTTTTATAAATTTTAACAGTCCAAAGAGAGCCTGAACAGTGCAATGAAACATGAGAGCAAGCACAAAGGCCTGAATTTCAACACATTATTAGAATAAATAAATAATGGTAGGAAATACTACAACACACTGGGAGCTACTATGTTCTGTCCCTGCTTCCGGTATGTGCTTGAACCCTGTGACGGGTTTTGCAGAGACGAAAATGGAGAAGAAATAAAACAAACGAAGAGGTTGTTCTCTAAAATAGTGACACTCTGTTCCCACAGTTGCTGTTCACCGTAGTAGCAGTTTCCGTGTTCTTTGCTCGTCGCTTCTCAATCGTGTCCCGTGAAGTCCACAAGATTGTTGTTGTACTTGGGTTCTTTTTTTCCTTCTTTTCTCTTGCAGGAAATACCATCCTTTATTTATTTATTTTTGAGGTAATGGGCAGCTGCACCCTCTTATTCATTCATAACTGATTCATTACAGATAATGGTCCTGATTACATCAGGGAAACCATTAAGCCAACAGGACGAAACATTGTTAGAATAAACCCGAGGCGCTCCGTCGATCTACCGAGGACCAAGCAATCACACGAGGCACGACACCGAGATTTATTAACGAGGTTCACCGATATGGCTACATCCCCGCGGCTTGACTACGGGCGCTCCTTCCCATGACACCGCTACAATACCGCACCCCGGCCGCCCGGGCGCCGGCACACGCCGCCGGCTCCCCCGCGTGCCCGTGCTATTATGTTGGCATAGGTTACATCGTGTGTCTACCCTCGCTATATATGAGAGGCCTAGGGTACAAGTGTCCTACTTGGACACGACTTCATATCATGTTTACACACCGTACGACTCCAAGTCCAACTGTAACCTAACTTGTACAATAATATTCGACACAACTCTAACAAACTCCACCTTGGCGAATATTCTCCACCACCTTGAATTCGTCCGTGCGTCGAACCTCCATGTACATTTGACTTGAGATACGTCATGAGCACCGCTGCTACTCCCAGACTCCATGTGACTCCACCTGCAATTGTAGTCCCTTCTCGTCTTCTTCACAGTCAATCCTCGAGCAAAATTAAGTTCCTCATTACTCTACTTTGTGCTCCTCACTTCCGGAGAATCCGTTCAACACCATCACACACCGATCACTGTCTGCGTGAAAATGAACAACTCGCATATTGGACGCCACATATAAGAGTTACCTGAACTCAATGCCACCGCTCTTTCTTGACCGTCTATCTGAAACTTGAAGGAATTTCACCGTCGCCCTGTGTCACCCTGAGTCAAATTCACAGTTGTCTCACCCTTTTCCCGGATAGTCTCTGGCATTTCCCATAGTTATACCACTCCGCCTCCTTCTGTCTTGTCATCCGCACTTTGCCATGTGAACCAAACACCACAGAATATACGGCCATGTACTCTCTCTGTTTTCACGAATCCAGACTTTCCGCCACTTTCTCAGATTCTCCATGGTCAACTCCTGTCCATCAACTAGCACCGATAGACCCAGTCACCAACTTGAATCCGGTACTCTTCAACACTGCTTCAGCATCCCCTGCACACTTTGTCTGACCACACGTCTCACCATTAGTGCCTTGGTCTGTCGCTGTGTCCCGTGCTTACCGCACGCCTCGCCGCTATCACCGCGTCGAGCCTCTGCTGTCCTGGTCGAGTCTCCCGGGTAGCTAGCCTACACTGCCTCAACCCCCAGTGCAGAGAACCACCGATCATCATCGACCGATGCCGAGTATCACGTCTCCATCAGACCATTGGGCCCCAGTCCAATCCACGTGTCTCTCGCTATCCCGCTGAAATAGGCTTCGATTCTCCGATATCTTACACCGTAGCCCCTCCATCAGCTCAGAGTGAAATCGTCCATCAGACTCCAGCTCCATCTTCAACATGACTCCATATAGCTGGCCGTGCTACCCCGCGCCCTGTCGACTTCAAGCTCTCATGTGTACACTGCCTTGAATCAACCCCGCGCCTTAGTCTTACCGAAGCCGCACAAGCCCTCAGGCCTGCACCACGTGTTTTCACGCCCCAGAAGTCGGCCACCATCAGCATCACGCTCCTATGTCGTCGTCGCTGAAATCACCACCGTCTTCTGCTTTGACCGACATCCCCGTCGATCCGTCAGACAGCCAGTCCGACCCAGCCGAAATTATCCGACTGCAACCATGTTCCACCCTGCGTCGTGTCCGCCTCTACACATCTCTGTGCATTGCCTTGACGCCCTGTGTATGCATGATCCCAGCATGACGCGCTCCAGACTCCTCCGAGCCTTATACGCATGTCGCCTGTCTTGATTTCCATTCGACCATCAATGCCGAACAACGCCGTCGCTGCATTCCTACCATCTTCAATCCATGTACAAAGCAAAGAATTCCAAAAGAAATAGCACCCGAAACCTTCTTGTTTACCCGTAGCAAGCCACCACACACAAGTTTCCTGAACTATTTTTTTCATCTTTACACACGTACTCAATCGATCCATGGCCATCAATGTTCACGCCCTGGTGACAAGACAACACCAAGCGACACCCTTTGATCGCAGCAGAACGGCATCTTTTTTCCTTTAACAAATCTCCCGCATGTAGCTCTGGCTCCTTTCATACAGCATGTACGATCACGCGAACCTCTGCCTAGCTCGGACTGAGCCTTGCTCTTCCAGGCCTCCTGCCATGGGCCACGCCGAGCTCCAGCCCCGCAGGGCCCGTAGCACCAGCGCCAGCGCTTGGGTCCCTGGCCCGCAGGCCGCGCGTGCCCGTCAGCGCAACGCGCTCGGCCGCCGCATGCCCTAGCGCTCCTGCCGCCGCATGTGCCCGATACGAACTCCGGCACAGCTTTTGATCTGCCGATCTTGTCCCGCTGCTGTCCGCTAGGTCTGTCAGCTCCCGCTACACGCCCTGCTGCTTGATGCTGGCTTCCGCCTGGTCCAGCACTGGCCACCACGTCGCCCCACACCCGACCCACGAACACACCCGCCGCACGCGCTTGCACCTGCTGGGCTGCTGCCCTAGCGCTTTGCTTGCGCGCCCTTGCGGCTACATGTTACACCGCCGCCGCACGCTCCCGATCTCGTCGAGATACACGCCGCGCTGGTCCGATTGCTTCTTGACACGAACAGAACCCCCGCCATCCCATCGATCTTGCCCGGTCGCACTACTCGACCACTGATCAATTCGACGAATTCTGCTCCACCTCTAGATCAATAGCTGCAACCTCAAATCGAACCTTGCTCATGATACCACTTGTTAGAATAAATCCGAGGAGCTCCGTCGATCTACCGAGGACCAAGCAATCACACGAGGCACGACACCGAGATTTGTTAACGAGGTTCACCGATATGGCTACATCCCCGCGGCTTGACTACGGGCGCTCCTTCCCATGACACCGCTACAATACCGCACCCCGGCCGCCCGGGCGCCGGCACACGCCGCCGGCTCCCCCGCGTGCCCGTGCTATTATGTTGGCATAGGTTACATCGTGTGTCTACCCTCGCTATATATGAGAGGCCTAGGGTACAAGTGTCCTACTTGGACATGACTTCATATCCTGTTTACACACCGTACGACTCCAAGTCCAACTGTAACCTAACTTGTACAATAATATTCGACACAACTCTAACAAACATCATGCTCCGCCGATTTAGCCAGAACATGTGCTGCCTCACTACAAGAACGATTGACATGGATAAAAGTACAAGATACAAACTTTGTGGCACATTTTTTCATATCATGGACTATGGCTCCAGTAGGGGACCTATCAAAACCTAAACTCTTGATCTTGTTAACCTACCATGATCTTCCTAATACCAGTGTTACTGGCAAGGATTAAGACTTGACGAAGTGCCATGGCTTCTGCTCCTTCAGGAATTTGAACTCATTCAAAGTAGCCTCTGTTCACCGCCTGTGCACCCTTCCCCGGTGATTATGTATCACCGGACCAAAGCCCGCTCTTGCAGATTGGGAGAAGATTGCTGCATCCACGTTGACGAGCATCGACCCCTCCGGCGGCTGAGGTGCTTGCTCATATGCTAAGGACTTGGTTTCCTCGCTAGCTCGGTGTCAATGCACTCCATCACTCGTTCCAGTTGTCTTCCTCCCAGTGATCTGTCCAATCAATTCCTCCAAATTTTGAGTACATGCTCAATTGCAACAGTGAGATGTGGGTTAATGAAAAGGATCAACCTCTATGTAATCAGCAATTAAGTGTGTAATCTTTTGCATATGAACCCTATAAATATGATGTTAATGTGCAAACCACATAAATTACTAAATTACAATATCAGACTAACAATAATTTATAACAAAAATGTAAAAACTGCACCATGTAATCTGTGTTCTACTGTTTGGTAAAACTAAAAAGAAACAGAGATAAAGTAGTGTCAAATTGTATTAAAGAATGTGTTCGTTTTACCCCTTTGCATAACTATAGTTTTACATTACAATAAGTCTGTTGTGTCTTTTGCAGAATGTGTTCCCCTTTGCATAACTATAGGTTTACATAACAATAAGTCTGTTGTGTCTTTTGCAGCTAATTTGTGCCCTGCTGGATGTGCTTCCAACAGTATGCATAAGTAAAAGGCATGGCATCAGTATTTGAACATTTTATTATTGAAGGGTGATATAAATTCATACATAATCAACTTCAAAATACCTCTTCATCATAATCAATATCTCCATAACTATTGATATATAGACTAAGATTGTATATGTCTGTTTTGAACGTGATTATTCCACTGAAAAGAACTTCTAGAAAAAAATATTCCCTGCATGAAATGAGAAGATAATGAATACATAATTTAAAAGTGAACCCTGAAAAAAAGAGCTTGAGAGCTTTCAAGAGGCTTAGCCGGCTTACACTAATCCCATCACTTTTGAAGTAATAACAAGTCCTTGTTTCATCAAAACATCTTGAGATACCAAAGTCAGTTATTTTAGGAACCATAGTATATTCCATAAAGTATATTTGTCGGTTTTAAGTTGAAGTGAACAATATGGTTCTTGTGGAGATAACTTAAACCCTCACAAATTCCTTCGATTATGTCATAGCACTCTCGCCATTCATATCCATAAGCATTCTACACAGGGAAGAGAAGATATTAAAACAGGTTATTGTGTGAGATACTTAAAGTTCGTAATCTTTAAAATCTAGCTAGATGTAGACGAGAGCATATACTTATATACTAGTACTACTCCGATTGTGGATGATCAAAAGAAAGAAAATGAACATGGAAAACATGTTATGTGTTGTGTGATCCTACCGGTCATATAGTCACAAAGACTTCCTTTCGTTAGATACTCAAAGCAGAGCAACCTCTGTTGTACACCTGCCATGGAAATTTTTCCCTCGTAGGAAGCCATTTCCCCATGTGCATAGCCAAATAACTCATAAACCGTACTTTTTGTGCTTGGCCTTCATCAAACATTCAACCTCTCATCAGAATTCGCTATCATGAATATAAGATGTGTTGGAAAGCTTCTTCACAGCGATTGCCCCATTTTAAAGAATTCCCTGCAGCTAACATGCCTTGCTAGAATAAACTCAACTTTTCTACTAATAAAGCATAAACTCAGCTATCAGACCAAGAGTAGTTGAGAGTTAGCATACCTTATAAACCACTGCAAAGCCACCATTAATGAGCTTTGAGACACTTAATCGGCTTACATTGATCCAATTTTGATTTTCATCATAACATCTTACATCTTGGGAGACCAAAGTCGGTAATTTTGGGCAACATATTGTTGTCCATCGATATATTGGCTGGTTTCAGATCTAAGTGAATAATACTTTCTTCTTCAAGGTAATATAAGCCCTCACAAATTCCTTTAACAATTAGATACCTCTTGCCCCATTCAAGTCCACGAGATGCATCTATAATAGGGGGAGATGAAAGTATGTTTAGTATTTGAGATACTTGAAGTCCTTATAATAGTAGAGAGATACAACACAACAAGTAACTTCCATTATACGTAAATTCTATTATATGCTTCCGATGCTTGAACCAAATCTTCTATTATGATGGTAAAAATAGAGATAGCAAGAAAATGAAAGGAGAAGACAAAACATTCGACCATGGTGGACCATCTCATAATGAATGAATTAATGACCACATGTTGATAGATTTTCCCAACATTGCATGTATGTATAGATCACTGTGACTGTATATGAACATGTCGCAAATGATAATAGTTGAACCTATGTCATGTACATTTGTGGGCTCTCTACAAATGGATGATTGTTCAACTCATGACCTAAACTTAAATTACGCATATCAATCCAAGATCTCGTAGAAACAACACATCTGCCTGATAGCCTAGTTTTTTCTGCGGGTAGCCTGATAGTCTAGTTAATGTTCTTACAAAATGTTATTACACCACAGTGTCTCAAAAAGATTGAAAATGATTAAAGATATTTCCCACACGGTTACATGAGATAATGTGCTAGTTTTATTGATAAAAAAGAGAGATGATATGGTGATCGTACCGGTGATATAATCATGAAGACTCCCTTTAGGTACATACTCAAAGCAGAGCAATCTTTGGTATATCCCATATGTCATGTTAGTATCTCTATGATTATAACACCCAAACTGTATATGTCTGACTTGAATGTGACCGGTGATATAATCATAAAGATACCCTTTGGGTATATACTCAAAGCAGAGCAGTCTTTGGTATATTTCATATGACATATTAATATCTCTATGATTATAACACCCAAACTGTATATGTCTGACTTGAATGTGAGTTTTCCACCGTAGAATTCTGGTGCCAAATAACCCCTGCAAGAAAATTGATGGATGAATACTAAAATATGCAATATGATTCATATATGGCTAACGGAAAGATCAAGATTTCAAGAGATTAGCCAACTTACGATGTTCATCCAAATTTTGAAATGATAATCCGGCACGAAAGTACTTTGAGAGACCAAAGTCAGCTATCGGTACCATATTATCATCCAACAATATATTATCAGGTTTTAGGTCCAAATGAACAATATGATTACGGTGAAGGTACCATAAACCCTTGCAATTTCCTTTGATTATTTGATAGTGCTCTCTCCATTCAACTCCACTGTACGTATCTATACACAAAGAGAAGATAGAGGAGTTAGTATTCGAAACAGTTGAAGTACTTTAGTTTCATATGCTAGAGTATATGGCACCACAGTAATTGTTGTTATCAGATGGGAACCAATAATTATGACCCAAGAAAAGATGTCATCACATGTTCCTACCTTTGTGTCGATACTTAAAACAGAGGAACTGTCGTCGTACATCTGCCATTACAAAGCTTCCCTCAAAGTCTACCACTCTCCCTTGTGTGTCGGCACAATATCCTAGAAACCGTGTGATGTTTTTGCGCTTCACCTCAATGAGGCATTTGATCTCTTCCTGGAACTTATCCCCTTCCATGTGTTCTAGGTCACTTCATGTAGTACCCTGCAACCAAAGGTAGAGCAAACATACACGGTTTATAAGGCTAGTAAACCCAACTCCTGAATCACTCAAGTATTATATATGCAATAATCACTCCTCTGATCTGCACATAGGTTCCATAACAGAACTCTTGCTTCCATGGGGCTGGCCTGGATTTACTCAAATACGCCTTGATGTGAACCGACAGAGTCTAACTAGGGTGCATGTATACCACGTGACAGGCTCTTCCTCTGTTAATCAGAGGCCCAGCTCACCACCCCACGAGGCACAGCCACCGGAGAAAACAGAAAAGAAACTCCCAGCCCGATGGCAGCACAGTCAGCGTACCAGACTAACAACATGAGGTGTTGACCATCTCTGAAAGAATGATCCCCAAACAAAGCCTCAGATCCTCACAACGCTAGACACCTTACAATAATAATGATAAAACATGGACATCATTACTGTGAAATACGTAGATCGAGCAAGCATATCTCGTTCCTAGACCAAGCAACAATTTTTCTTTCGTTTGCTATCGTTCCCCACCGCAACTAGATTTGTCGACGCCCTTCAGGCGTTTGACATCAAGCTGGAAGCAAAGCAAAGCAACTGGTGGTAACCAGTTCACAGAGGGCTAGGGCAACGACACAGGCAAGCAGATTGTACCAAAACATCCTAACCACGATGCACAATAAGGTCCTCAGAGCTAAAGCTCGCGAGCACGAGAGAACAGCACAGTCTGCAGCAACACCCCAACTTGATTTTCTGATAAGATCTTAAGCAAGGAAAATATCGCAGTTACCTGCAGAAGCGCAGATGCGTGGCGAAGGCGAGCTTCAGGTGCTGCAGGAGTCCGGGGCAGGAGAAGGGATGTGGTTGCTGGAGTGAGTTCACCAACAGGGTGATGGGGGTGTGATATAGGGACGGGCACCTCCACGGAGCTGATAGTAGATATTTTCTTTGAACTCAGCTGGTTAAATCCAGATCGGGCATCGATAGTAGCAGTAGTGTAATTTGTTTAAACGCTTCACGAGAAAGTTAATTATGCGGGAATCCTGCTGACGCAACATTTCAATAATAATAAGCAGAGACGTGTGAATGTGTGCCACCCACCATTTTTTACAGAGAGGGAGAGAGTGACACACACACCCTATTGGCGTCCGCATCCGGTCAAATTTGTCCGGCCGCGACCCAAGATCTGCGACATGGATGCTAGTACATGGTTTTTCTCCTGTCTACTGGTAATATGGACTTGTTAATATAACTGTTTGAATTTGTGCAAAGATTCATGTAGGTTTTTCCTTTTGAGTTCTTGTGTTATCTATTCTTTTTTGCACGGGGCTGCATACATCGTTGGGCTTGCCCCTTTTCCTCATGAATTTTTTATTTTCTTGATGTTTTAAAGTTTATTTCCTTTTTGCACAGTTGTCAAGTTCATCCTTGCATATGTAACACGCAACCACGGAGGTGAATAGAAAGTTAAACGTTTCACGAGAAATTAATTATGTGGGAATCAAGCTGTCGAAACATTTGAATAAGTAGAGAGGCATGTGAGTGTGTGACATCTGCCCTAACCCCAAGATCTACAAGATGCATATCTATCTTTTGTCAAGTGTATACCTATTTCTCCTTTTGTTTCAAATTAATTGAAGTTTTGCAGGTGCTCTAAATCAATCTTTTTAAAGTTTGGCCAAGTCTTAAAAAAATGAACTAAGATCTACAACATCAATTATATATGAAATGGAAATATATTTTAAAAAACACCAAATGCAAGTAATTTGGTGTTGTAGATGTTAATGTACTTTGTAAATTAGGACAAACCTAGAACTTTAATTAATTTGGAGCAGAGAAAGTACATATTAAAAACCCAATACCACAAAAAGAATGAGATACACTATAAAAAGATCAAAACGGTATACTTGATAGACCTTCTTTTGGTTAGTACACCACAACCGTCAGATTTTTCCTAAACATTTTTTCAGAACTAACCTACTCCTTAGTAAACAAATTATAAACATTTGACGATTCTTTCGTACGAGCACTTGGAGAGTTCAATGCCAGAAAAGGCAGTCTCGCAAGAACCTTTACTTTCATCATCAACATATGTGAGAGCTAGTGCCTCTTTGACTGACCAACTACAACTCCAGCTATACACAGTAAAACGGTCAAATTTCAAACGACCTTTTCAATCCATTTGATTCTTCGGTTCTTCCTGCTAATCCAAACTTTTAACCCCACGCTGCCGATAAAGCATAGTTTACCACAAGCTTCCCGTCTATTGCAAAATTCTGCAGAGTTATAACATAAGAACATGATCAGCGTTCTTCTTCATTAATACGCCTTCTGAAATAACAGAAAGTCAATGGCAAACAAATGATGCTTGGTAACTAAGGAATCCATTAAAAATAGTATATGCATACGAACCATAAAGATCCAAGACTTTGTATTATGTAAGTTTGCCAACTAGAGATTTAAGAAAGAATACAACTAGTCGCCAATTAACCAATCCACTGATAGACACTCTAGGAGTTATTACCCTGTGTCTCGGTGGAATGTCGCTCATTAAGACAAAGGGTGACAATCACATAAAAAGGTCATTATTACCCTGTGTCTCGGTGGAATGTGGCTCATTAAGACAAAGGATGACAATCACATAAAAAGATTGACATTGACTTTTAGAGATAATAAATGATTTCCGAAGAAAGGAATTACTCCCTCCGTTTCTAAATATAAGCTCTTTTAGAGATTTCAATATAGACTACACATGGGTGTATATGGACGTATTTTATAGAGAGTAGATTCACTCATTTTGCTCCATATGTAGTCCATGTTGGTATCTCTAAAAGGTCTTATATTTAGGAATGGAGGGAGTATTCAGGTGCTAATTGATGACATAAACACACATCATACATGAGTGTACACATTAATCATTAAAGGATGGGGATTGTGATAAAATATGTTAATAAGATAGCATCCAGAATCTTACATTATACAAGTCAATTATCAGCTCATCTGGGCTTGGAGAAAACGAACTGTTGACATAGACAAACTGTGGGCAACATAGAAAACTGTCAATGAAAACCTAGGGTGTCATGGATTAAATTTGCATCAAACTCACGACTATATTCCTACCAGTGTATCCTGATGAAGTTGTCGACGAAGAAATTCAATAACCCTCAAGAATTTATCTCGTCCTGAAATCTAGCAGGAGAAACAGATACACAAGCGACAGATTAATGAAGTTCATGGCGTGCAACACAAGGTAAGCAGTTCATAATCAAATTTCAAGGACAAACACAAATGATATCAGGATTTCAGTAGTCAACAATTTGAAGTAGTGGTATATCAATAAAGCCAACCAATTGTCTATAAGCCTACTAAATGCATCCCGGCACTGGTAGTGTAACTCAGGCTAGGTTAACATTAGATCCTCTGCAATGTTCATATGTATAGTATCTATGAGCCACGGGAATAGGCAAAGTACTCAATTTTTTGCTAAAGTTGCTCTTCTAGTTGGCTACAACCAAGAGCAGGTCCTAGCAAGGTTTCCAGCTTGCGACATTCAGTTCACTAAATACATTATCTACCACAACCAGCAAGCAGACCAAACTGCTGCAAGGGACCATCAATCAAGGGATGGAAAATATGCTAGGTTTCACTGTCCCCATCTAGGCAGAGATAGTACCTAAACATCCGGCGGCTACTAGCCTACTGCCAGAAAAGTTTATCGGTTTATCTGAATTCGCTGACAAAATTCACCGGAGAAAACCCCGAGATCCGAGTAGAACCGAAACCTCGGTTCCACTAAGCAGCGGCGGTTTGCAGGCAGGAACAAGATCGAAAAGAAGGGGTGCGAAACGAGAACCGCACCTTGAACTTGTCTTGCTTCAGTATCGGCGCGTTGCCGGCCGAGCGGACGTGCACCACGACTGCAAGATTCCACGCGAACAAAGAGAAATTAAACCCGTGGGAAAAAGAGCGGCGCAGGAAACGATGGAACCCGTGGGCGGGGGTCGCAAACCTTTCTGCTCAGCCTCGGAGCCCGCCATCGGAGCAGCTGGGAAGGCCGAGGAGGACGAGGAGGGGGATTCAGGAGGTCCTGCTCGGCGACGCGATGAACTGATGAACAACCCCTACCTTCTCCGTTGGGGATTATTAGCAGCAGACCGGTCCGTAAGCAAACCCAGTGCCAGGAGAAGGTATCAAATCAGTACTCTGGGCCGAAGGGCCGACGGGCGCGTCTAGGTCTCGCCTCAAGACCTCGACTGGGCCAGCCCATTAAGATGTTATTTTCGTTCGTTTCTTTCTCTTTTGTTTTCGATTGATCATTTTTTTCTTTGTATATATTTCGAAATTTCTAAATATTTTTTATATAAATAATTTAAAATTTTATAAAAAAGTTTATCATGCATTAATAAAATGTTCATGTATTTTGTAAACAATCTTCATGTAATCAAAAAGTTGTCCACACATTTCAAGAATATGTTTGGTCTTGCCAACTAGAGATTTAAGCAAGAATCCACTATCTGCCAATTTAACAGCCCATTGAATCTGTGTCTCACTGAAATGTGGCTCATTAACATAAATGGTGACAAATCCTAGAGTGTCAATCGGGGTGATAAATAAATGATTACCCAAGCAAGAGAATCATTATAAGGTGCTAATTGATAATGTAAACACACATCATATGCAAGTGTTTGCTAAGGATGAAGATGCAAGAACGTATTTATAAGTAGATAGAATGCAGAATCTTACATTATATAAGTCGATTAGCAGCTCGTCTGGTTTTGGTGAAAATGGGTTTGTTGAAAATGCACCGTGGACATAGACAAACTGTGGGCAACATACAAAACTGTCAGTGAAAATTTAGAGTGTCATGGATTAAATTTCCATCAAACTCGCAACTATGTTCGTACCAGTGTATCCTTATGGAGTTGTCCGCAAAGAAATTCGATAATCTTCGAGAATTTCTCTCGTCCTGAAATCTAGCAGCAGAT